ACAATTGGAAAGGAAGGATTCAATAATCTTAAAGATGTTTCCAGATACACCATAAGAAGAAAGCTTATGGAGGAGACCAGCATGCCAAACTTTATCAAATGCTTTAGAAATGTCAAGAGCAATGGCCTTAACCTCTCCACCTTTATCTAATGCGCGATAAAACCTATCGGTTATTACTGATAGCAAATCAGCCGTAGAACGAGAAGATCGAAATCCATACTGATGATCAGAAAGTAGGTTATGAGATTCGAGATAAGAGATTAAGTGTTTGTTAATTAAAGATTCAAAAACCTTGCTTATGATAGGAAGAAGACTAATGGGACGGTAGTTAGATGAGTCAGATCGCTCTCCAGAATTTTTAAAAATAGGGATAACAGATGCTGCTTTCCAGCAGGCTGGAAAACAAGACTCTGATAAGCACTTGTTGAATAGTTTTGAAAAGATAGACGACAGCTCAGGAGAACACTTCTGCAAGACTATAACAGGTATGTTGTCCGGGCCGCAAGCTGTAGAAGAGTCTAAGCGGGAAATCACTTTAGATACAGAGGCTGGAGTGATACAAATGTCGAGCAATGGATCAACCTGTTTGACGGGTATATCAGGTAAAACGCAACTAGTGGCATCAAGAGATGATATTGATGAAAAGTTCTTGGCAAACAATTCAGCTTTGTCTTTAGGTGAGGTGACAAAGTCTGAACCGTACAAAAGAGGTGGAATTACAGACTTGCCCTTATTATTGATACTATTAAAGATTCTCCAGAAGTCACGAGAGCCTAATTTTTGTGATGAAATACGAGATTTCATGATCTGAGAATAGCGGGTTTTGGCGTTAGACAAAACCTTTTTACAATGGTTCCTAGCAGTAATAAAGAGACGTCTGTTTTCTGGAGAATTGTTTTGCTGATAGATATGGAAGTAATGGTTTCGATTGGCAATTGCAGCAGCACAATGCAAGGAAAACCACGGAGAAGAGTGAGGCTTGACCTGGAATTGTCGAGAGGAAATAAAGGATTCCATGTTAGCCTGAATCCACGAAGTTATGTAAGAAGCACATTTGTCAACAGGGAGACGAAAGATTTCTGCCCAGGGGCCATCACGAAGAAAGTCACGAAAAGAGTCCCAGTCAGCTTTAAGGTAGTTGTAAGATGTACGATGATAGGGGGATTCTAATGGTAAAGAAGAATGAGATAATAGTTTTAGAGAGACCAAACCATGATCAGACGCACCTAAGGGTGAGCGTGAAGAATATATTTTTATATATAGATATATACAGTACCTAGCCACAATATTATGATCACTTCAGTTTTTCCACTTATTTTGTTTTCAAAGTTATTTTAAAGTAATTTTAAGGTGAGTATATTATTATTACTAACTTATTATACAATACTGACATCTATCAAATAAAATAGAAAAGATAAATTTATTTATAATTATGACCAATGTGAAGTAAGGTGTGTTTTAAGTCAGCAATGTGAATTTTTATTAATTTAAAAAAAATATGTGGTTGATCTGTCACACATTTTTTTTACATTTTAACAGTTTTTTTTGAGTGAAAAGTGCTTTATTATTTTTAATACATTTTATAAAGTTACTATAAATAGCAAGAATTAATATATAGTACCATTTTATTAACATTTTTAGTGTAACAGGTTGTAATTTAAAATTTCAATAAAAAATAAACATGGGTAAAGGTAAGGATATAAGTCCAAGCAAAATTTCAGAAGTAAAAGCACTTTTACAACATTCAGAGCATTCACAACGGGAAATTGCAAAAATGTGTAAAGTTTCGCAACCTTTTGTCAATAAAATCAAAAACAAATTGGAAAACGACATCACTCTTTCTCCAAAAAGGAAAGGACGGAGTGGGTCAAAACGTAAAACCACTTCCAGGACAGACAGAATTATAAGAGATATATGTCTGGAAAATAGAAAAAAATCATCCCTCTTGCTGTCAAAACTTGTTCAGGAGTATGAAATACAAATTTCGGAGCGCACAGTGAGGAGACGTCTGGCTGAAGTTGGTTTAAAATCACACAAACCGGTTAAAAAACCAAGGCTTACTCCAGCAATGATAAAAAAGAGATTGCAATGGGCAAAAAATAATAAGTATATGACTATTGGAGATTGGGAACATGTAAGTTTATCAATTTTGAATGAAATATTGTTAAAAAAGTGTTTAAATGTTGACATAAACTTATTTACAACCTTACTATGACGATTTTTCAGGTGTGTTTTTCAGACGAATCAATTTTTGAGATCTTGTTGAACAAAACCATCTTCATCCGAAGATGAGACCAAACGAAATATATCATCCAGATATATTTCGTTTGGTCAAACTATTAAACATCCGACTAAAGTTATGGTGTGGTCAGTTATCAGTGGTAAAGGCACAGGAAGACTATTGTCAATGGGATGATGAACCAAATACAGTATCAAGAGGTTATGGAGAGTCAACTTATCCCCCAAATACAAGAATGGTTTCCAAATAACAATACATTTATGTTTATGCATGATAGTGCTCCATGCCATAAAGCTAAAAGGATCACAAACTTTCTTAAAACAAAAAATATCCCCATTTTAGATTGGCCAGGGAACTCTCCTGACCTGAATCCGATTGAGAATTTGTGGAACATTCTCAAAAAGGAAATCTCTTCTGAGGTTTCAACAAATAAAAAGGATTTGATTGAAAAATTACTCTATCACTGGCACCACAATGAAAAAATTAAGACAGCAGCAATAAACTGTATTAAAAGTATGCCAGACCGAATAGCTAAAGTCATTTTGTTGAAAGGAGGAATGACAAAATATTAATATTTTTTTATGACTTGCAATCAAAAAGAGTAACTGTTTGTTAAAATGTGTGTATATTGATATTGAAATATTATTTTGTTATTAAGGAAACATGTTTTATCAATAAAATATAACTAATATTGCAATTGTACTTTTTTTATACTTTTTACAAACCCTTGAAGTTAAAAATACATAAAAACTGTAGGTGATCATAATATTGTGGCCAGGTACTGTATATACAAATAGTATTGCGTACTAAGGTAAGCAATCTGACGTCATACTGAAATAGCCTGCTGCCGGGGGCTTCCGTACATACATCAACTGACAAATAGCCTGACTCACAGTGGAGTGCTGCTACATCGACTGAGGGTTTGGGATGGGGAAGCAATCGTTTCATTTTTTCATAATCATTCATCATTTTTTCTTCTTCTTTTTCGAAAAGATATTGATTAAGGTAAGCAAAAAAAGTGAGCAAATGCTTAAAAAAATACGCTTTTGTAAGTGTGTGTGTATATATATATATATATATATATATATATATATATATATATATATATGTATACATATATATATATATATATATATATATATATATATATATATATATATATATATATATATATATATATATATATATATATATATATATATATATATATCCCGCCTAAAACGGTTTATGGGAGCAATTCACAGCTCTCGCAAAAGATTTTTTTCTCTCAAAAGTATATTTATAATTTTAACTACAATGAAAAATGCAAAGTGAAAATAATTTAACTAATTGGACAATAAACAGGCACCGTTGATGCAAAAAAAAGTTTAGATCTAAAGAATTTTTTTCACGGCGCAATCAATGAAGCTTATTATGTGTAAATTATTGTAACATTAACATTACAAACATATGCTTGTAAAACCATAAATAAATAGTATAAAACCATATATTGTATTTAATAAGCTAATTTTATTTAAATTAACAGATAGCTTGTGCAAAAACCAAAAGCTCTGGTAAAAACCAGTTTAGAGGAGCAGCTCACATGGCTCATCATGTTCATTTTAGGAGAGATTTGGTCTGCTCTCGTATTCATTCATTCCTGCCGAGGCCTGTATATATATATATATGTATATATAAGTATATGTATATGTATATGTATATATATATATATATATATATATATATATATATATATATATACACATATAATTAGCTTTCATTACTACTTTCAATGTTGAAGCAGTATATATCAAGCAAACTTTATAAGGTTTTAAACTTTTTGTGGTGTGTGATTTGACTAGAATAATTGACAAAAAAAAAAAAAAAAAAAAAAGCAACCTGAGCAAATAGTTTTATAAGTGCTTATCTAATAAAGAGAAAAACTGTCACACAAAAGTTTTTTTTTTTTTTTATTATTATTATTATTCACCTCCCAAAGGTCCGAGGGGGCCACTACAGTCGAGGAGGCTACTCATTTTTTTTAATTTTATTTTTTTTTAATTTTATTTTATTTTTATTTTTTTGTTGTAAATCATGGTACAATCCTCTCTCAACTCTTTAACTCTGAAACACGAACCTTGACAAACAAGGCCGCTGTGTGGAGAAATTAAGTTGAGCGCGGTACTTCCAGGGACATGGTGGGAGTCGAACTCCAAACCTCTCACTTACAAAGCGAGCGCTTATACCACTACACCACTACCGCAAGTAAAAGGAATGGGAACATAGGAAGAAAAAGCAACTATCATGCAAGAACTACAGTTAAATGACTTGATAGTAATGCAATAAATTTTGTATCAACATTTGCATCAGCAGAACCATTGATTGATTGTCAGTGTTAAGTTAAAAAAAGACAAGAAGTTTACAGGAAGATGTAAGAAGAGGTGCAAAAATGCAGGGTGTGAAGTGAAGCCAGTTTTTATATGCTCGAAGTGTCATGAATTTTTATATGCTCAAAGTGTCATTATATTATCTCAAAAATAATTGCCCCAAGAAATTTTATTTTACATAGTTGCAACTAACAAATTGTTATTTTTATATAAACCATACATTACATAGTTAAAGGATTGTATATTATTATTATAATAAAGATTTATGACTGTTGCTTCAGTTCAAGTACCTCAAGTACTTCCTTAAGTTTACCCTTTTAAGTTAACCAATCTATTTTAGTTAGGTCAATTAACTTCCTAAAATACAAATTATTATCATTAAAAAATTTTTGTACCTGAGAGCATAACGTTTTATCAGCATGATAAATACCATCTTTAAAATCACAATAATCTTTGTTAGTAATAATACATTCAGCTTGTGTTCCAATACAACACGGACGCCCAGTTATTTCACAATGCATATGCGGGTAATCCTCACGAGGTAATTGACTAATATTTGTTGATTTCTGACAAACCTGTTTATATATAAAAAGATTTATATCCTATAACAACTAAAATGTAATAAAATGATTTTTTTAAATTAAAAATATTAGAAACATACAGGCCATTCTGTTATTGCCAATTTACCCCACTCATTTGGAGGTTTGGATGGAGGAGTAAGACATGCTCTAAAAATTATAAGCGTAAAAAAAAATTAAAAAAAAAAAAAAACAACTAAAAAATATTCCTTAGAGTTACAGATTGTAAACAGTTGTGCACAATTATTTCGTACAAATATTTGTTAATGAAAACATAATGAAAATTCAACCTTTAGTATTTTACAAAAATATAAAGATGTAAGCAAAAAATTTTTATAATTGCTTTAGCATCAGCATTAGGGTATGATATTTTAAAAATATTTTATATTCATAAAAGTTATAATTAATAAATATTAGGATTTTACCTATAAATAAAGAAAATAACTTTAATTTTTTTTGTATTTTAACGCTAGCTATATTTTTTTCAAGTTTAATTGTTTATGACTAATATAGTAACTACTAAATGTGCACTTGGTTCTTAAATCTAATTAGAAATAATATAAATTCCTCCATGTTTGGTTATTTCTAATTTATTTCTTTATTTATCTTTTTTGCTTAAGTAAAAAAAAAAAAATTTAAGTGCCTAAAACTCTTACGCTTTTAAATTGAAAAAAAACTGCAGTTTTATAATCTAGTCGTTGAAAACTGCCATTTAAAATATTTTATAAACTTCTCGGAATTTCAAAAAAAACCTAAAATATTTTGCAATTTTTTTCTCACACATAATTTTGAATGAATCAGAAACTTTTGCAAATTGATCTTTGTAAAATCCTTTTTAATCCTTATAAATGTTAGTTCATAAAATAAACATTTCAATACTTCATAATAAATTTTTCTTAGAAGGAAGCTTACATTTAAACGTAATTTATATATTTAATAATTAAATATATCTAAATACAAAAGTTTATGTCTCAACAAAGATAAGATATAACAAAAGCTAGTTTAAAAAAATAATAAACTTGAGTAAATATGAAATACTTATTAAATACTAATTTAAATTAAATATTATATTAAGTATAAAATTAGACATTAAGTATTCAAACAACAAAAAGTCTTATATTTTTTAAAAGATCTATAAAAAAATCATTTTAACTATAATTTAGAAGTCCAATCATGTCTTTTTTTGAGCAGACATCGGCTCTTTACTAATGAATTGAGCTCTAATGTAAGATTATCTTCTTTCTACTGTGTGGACATGTCCTGCAGCTTCTGTAACCATCTGTACACACCTCTCAACTAACTGTGTATGAAAACTCCAATGGGGAACAACTATGAGGCTATTACTGGCTTAACATTAAAGTCAAAGCATGTTGGTTTGAAGGTCCAAGACATATTTTATAATTAAAACTCCTTAAAAACATTGAAGAACATCTGATATTACCATTGATGCTGAGAATCTTTACAGCCTCATTGACTGGAGCAATAATGTCACAATTAATGAACCACCTTTGATATGCAACCTTATATCTGTTACTATTAAAATCTTTAACTTTGACTTGTATGTTAAACCAGTTTGGAATATAGACACCTATTACAAATTCAACAATATTTGTAAGATTTTGAAGGTTGATGCCAGATAGCTCATGCAGAGAAACCCATATTCTACAAAATCTTAGTGCTGTTGTGAGCCATCTGCTCTGGCAAACAGGTCCTTTTTCTAGCAATGCTAACTGCTTAGGTAAATTACCAGACCTTATTACGTTTATTAGTACTCTTACTTCTGGGCTAAGAACAGGTAACGAAGATCCAATATCAATCTTTGTAAAATTAGGATTGATTTCAAGATCTGTAGCTGTATTTAACATTTTTCCAAGTGGTTCAGACTACTCATTTTACCATTTTGTTGGGCCATCTAAGTTTATAACTAAGTTCCTTAACCCTAACTCATTAACCCATAAGATTACAAACAATGCACACTAATCTCTTTCTCAATTTTCTTTCCACCCATTGCATCCCACTACCTTCACACCCAGTATATGCATTTGCGGTGTCTCCTCCAATGACTTTTAATTGAATTTCTAAATTTCTTTTTATCAACCAGTTAGCCAGGTGGTCTGCAATTATCTCAGCATATTTCTCTGATAACACAAACAAAGTGAAATAGATATCTACCACCTAGTTCAGTAACTTGATAAGACAAGTGAAATATTTGACATTAAATTCTGTTAATACTTTTGTATTATCTTTTCTGTCATAAAAAAATACAGGAAACCTCATTATTCTTAAGATATTTATCAAATTTTTCACTTAATTGTAATGGTAACTTCTCTTGTGCCCTTTTAACCTTGTTGTGATCAATAGTTAGTAAAGTATTATTCTTTGTTATAATTCTAGCATCAATTAGTGCTGCTCTTGCTTTCCCCAGTTTCCCTTAAATCTGTGTGATGTCTCATTTTAGCAATCGCAATGTCCTACTATAAACTTTTACAATAATCTTGTTTTAAATCTCGAGCAAAAATCTGGTTCCAAACTTCATCTGTTTTTTCAATTAAATTGTTTTTTGCATTAAATGCAAAATCTTATCTTATTGATATATTAATATTGTTAAAAAAAAAAAGTTTTTTTTTTAAGTATACATTTAATTTAATAACTTCATATTTAACAAATATATTATAATAAGTATACATTTAATTTAATAACTTCATATTTAACAAATATATTCTATAAGTAATTGTTTAACTTGTGTTAAGAAATTATAATCTTGCTGAATTTTTTGATTAATCTTCTCTTCTTTTATTTTACATTTCTTTGCTCTCTCCCCTAATTTGCAATGATGCTTCTCTTTTCTTTTTATAACTTTTATTTTTGTTAACTCTTTTATGTCAACACCACCAATATGGTAATGTGCGAAACTATTATTTTCTCTCTCTGTGACTTGATAAAGCTGAGTTCTAATGCAGGAATTTTATTTTCTCGCACACACACACACACACACACATGCATTTAACATGTACTTGCATGCTAAATGCTTTACAGTCATGGTTACAACCATACTTTAAAAAGAAAATTTCACATTTGTAAGATAAAATATCAACAAGTTTTTTGATTTTTAATTAAATTTGAATTAAATAATTCAAGAATTCAGTTTTAATGCTGAATCTTGAATTATTACTGACAACATCTTTAAGATTATTGAATCTTTCCTTTCCAATTGTAGTATAAAAGTTGTCCTTGATGGACAGCACTCTTCTTCTTATTCTGTAACCTCAGGGGTTCCTAAAGGTTCAATCCTTGGCCCTATACTCTTTTTAATTTACATTAACGATCTTCCAGATATTCTCTCATCTAAGGTGGCATTGTTCGCTGATGATACTACCATTTATTCTTGTCATGATAATAAGCCAACTCTCTCTGATTGCTTGGAGGGGGCATTTGAGCTTGAAAAAGATCTCACTTCTGCTTCAGCATTGGGCTCACGGTGGCTGGTGAACTTTAATTCAGATAAAACTCAATTTTTTTCAGTCAATCATTATCGCAATAATTTAGACCCTCCTATATTTATGAACAGTAATGTACTCGATGAGTCATCTACCCTTCATCTTCTAGGATTAACTCTTACTTATGATCTTTCTTGGAAAGCATATATCAAATCCATTGCAAAGTTAGCTGCTCTTGCAGCCAACCTTCAACCATTATCAAATCGTCATAATGTTGCTTCTCTTTCTCTTTTCTACAAATACTATAATAGGCACTGCTCTAAAGAGCTAGCATCTCTTGTGCCATCTACTAAAATTCACTCTTGTGTTACTCGCCATTCAATTAAGTCTCATCCTTTTTCTGTGACTGTTCCTAAGTGCTCCAAAAACTCTTATTCGTCTAGTTTTTTTCCTCGAATATCAGTTCTTTGGAATTCGTTTCCTTCATCTTGCTTTCCTGATTCATATAATTTGCAATCTTTTAAGTTGTCTGTCAATTGTTATCTTGCTCTACAATCTTCATCTTTTCTCTTCCAGTAACTTCCAACACTAATTAGTGGTTGCTTGCAGCCTTGTTGGAAGCGAAGATGTTTAAAAAGAAAAAAAAAAAAATCTTTTTATATGTAGTAGCCTGGGTTCTAAGATCTTTTAGATCTTCTAATATGCAGTATAGAAATTTTTAACTTGCATAAAAGTATCTTTAGGTGTTTCGGGTAAACTTGAGAATTATAATAAGTTAATAACATTATCTAAAACATAGGGTTGGGTTTAGAAATTAAAAATAAACTTCTTTTTTAAATATTACTAAATGCTCTAATATTTTTCAATGTTTTTCTAATGTTTTTACAATCGTCATCTTGTCTCTTCCAGTAACTTCCAACACTAATTAGTGGTTGCTTACAGACTTGTTGGAAGCGAAGATGTTTAAAAAAAATAATGTATAAACTTGCAATTAGCTTTTTCCCACTGACAAGATAAGGCTGGAGTGATATCAGTAACTAGTTTATCAACAGTATAGTTTCTTTTATTTTGATTACTTGTCTCTCTCAAAAAAATCCAATATCGTAAAATATTCCTTGCAGTAGGGAGCTCAGATGGTAAAAGTTGTTTTCCTCTACTAATAAATTTAGTGAGTGAGCTGCGTGTGTAGCTGATGTATTTCTTATTTTTTTTTGGTGACATTAAAGTTAATTTTAATTAAATACTGATTAAATGTAGTTTATAAGTTGATACGCTCTGTTGAAAGTCTTTTTACTATTTTTAATCATAAACAAGTTTTAAAAACAAATCTTAAAAACTAAATCCTAATAAAATCCAAAAATATAACTATAAATCCGAAATAAATCAACCTCAAGTTCAAATAAATGACAACAAGCATTTTTAAGGTAGAGCTTGAACTTTTCATGCTTGTTTTTTAATGACAAAAACAGATTTTTGTTAAGTTTGAAAATTAGAAGTTATTATTAAACTTCAAATTTAAAAAAAAAATGCTATGGCGCACTCACATTATTAATTGCTTTATAAAACTATTTTGATGATATTCTTACCCAATTTTATTCATTGAATTTTATTTTAACATTTAATTTTTATATAAAATCATTGCATTATAATGGTATTAAAATAACAGATAACAAATATACAAATATATTTATCATCTATACAGAAAATATCTATTACACGTTTATTGCTAATGCAATGTTCAAAATGTATTTATATATAATAAAAAATTAATATATTAAAAATTAATATATTAAAATAAATTATAATAAAAAATTAATATAATAAAGCTTTCAGAGAATAAATTAAGAAAAAAACAGTAACTAAATTTTTATACTTTAAAATCCTCTTTTTAATTGATTTTTTAAATCAATATTATTTAAATTAAGTAGTAAAAAATTATTTCAAATATGACGTTTAATAAATATTCAAATTTTATTAAATAAGCTATACACAAGTGCAGCTTTGTTATACATAAAAAGATTTTGAATCTAAGTTTATTATTACACAATATACATATAAACTTAGTTTGTAAAACATGTTGACACAATCTACAGCTTTGTTATACATAAAAAGTTTTTAAAAGTTTATTAAATACGTTAAAATGTTTAAAATAAATCTACTCAAACAAAAAATAATAATAATTAGAAACTCACTTTGGATCTTGACCGCAAACAGTTGAAGGTTTATATGTAGTGAATGATGACTAAATAAATAAATCTTTTATTTTAACTTTTTAAATATTTTTAACATTTATTTAACGTTTACATAATGCATTAACTTAACGTAATCAATCAAAAGTGTAACTTTAATCAACTTTAAAATGACTATTACAAGGGCAACAACATTTATTATACCAGGACAAGAAATTAACAATAGCAAAAAAGTACAAAATAAAGTTCGGTGAAAATCAAATAATGAGTTATTTCAAAACAAAAGTAATGTTTTACAAATGTTAAACAAAAGTTTCTTTCAATCATGTTTTAAAATCTTATATGAAATATGAAATATTTCATATAAGATTTTAAAACATGTTATTAAATGTTATTAACATGAAAAATTTTATTTTAAAACATGTTATTAAATATTATTAATATCAAAAAAAAAAAAAAAAAAAAATCACAAATAAAAAGAATTGTTTCAATGTTCTCAGATTAAAAGAACATTTAAGCAACATAATCATGTCATCCTTCTAAAATAGATTAGTCTTGAGATTCCTTTACTTTTGAATTTTGGTTCATTTGTTTCATTCTTAAATTGTCTGCTAAAATATTTGTTGATTGTGTTTTCTAACGTTTCCTTGTAAGCCAAAATATTTTCAACACACAATTTCTACCATCAATATAAAACAGAAGAACTTACACCCATTATAACAACATTTTTACTAACAAATGTAATTTTAGCAAAGGATCCAATACCGAGAGAAAACGGAGTCAAGAGAAATCCAGAAATAACTCCATCATATATATATATATATATATATATATATATATATATATATATATATATATATATATATATATATATATATATATATATATATATATGTATATATATATATATATATATATATATATATATATATACATATAAATATATATATATATATATATATGTATATATATATATATATATCTATATATATATCTATATATATATATATATATATATATATATATATATATATATATATATATATATATATATATATATATATATATATATATATATATATATATATATATATATATATATATATATATATATGTGTATATATATAATATATATATATATATATATATATATATATGTGTATATATATATATATATATATATATATATATATATATATATATATATATATATATATATATATATATATATATATATATATATATATATATATATATATACACTCAAAAATATATATTTAAAATAAATTTGAGTAAGTAGGATTTTGAAGGAAAATTTCCAAAACTTTTTTCCAATTATTTAATTGTTTACTCATTTTTAACTGATAAATTGATAACACTATTAAAATACCAATACAATTAAATAAATGTAGAATATAGAATGCCATTACAAAAAAAAATTGGAATTAATTTGTTTTTCTCGAAAAATATTGCCAAGTATATCTGGAAAGTACTGAATCCAAACAATATATAATATATATATATATATATATATATATATATATATATATATATATATATATATATATATATATATATATATATATATATATATATATATATATATATATATTATAAATCTTTATTTAAAATTGATTAGCATTACAAATAATGAATTGTACAATTTTATCTATTGTTAAATGATTAGTGAAAGATAGCTAAAAACGCAGAAAAAAGAACTGATTATTTATGTGTTTAAAAAGCAGCGGAGCTGCCAATGTTTCGTGGGAGATAGAGGTCACTGACACCATTACGAAGAATACGTAGGTACTTTTGAACAAAGGATCGCTGATAGGAAGTAATGATTGTGTTATTTAGAGCAAATGGGAATCTGTTTGGGTTTCTGCTATTGGTGTGAGGTAATTGGTTGAACCTTGACGAACAAGGCCGCTGCGCGGAGAAACAAGTTGAGCGCGGTACTACCAGGGACGTGGTGGGGATCGAACTCGGAACCACTCGTTAATTAAGCAAGCGCTCTATCACTACACCACTTCGCATCTTTGATGATAAAAATAGATTTCTTTACTTTACTGGTTCCTTATATTTAAAACGTAAATTACTACTAGAAATTTAAAAAAACAAGAAAACTAGATTCACTGCTTGCTTAAATTTAAAATATAAAAGCAAATTTAAATGTTTCAATGAACCATAATCATATTATTAAAACCATTTTATGACTATGCATGAAAAAATGATTATTGGTATTCTTCGTTGCCACAAATCGCTTGTAGCAAATCACAGTAGCGTTCAATCGCTTGCAAACCTTTGTAGTTCTTTTATAATTAAGAGACATTTGTTGTTGTTTTTGCTGAGACTTTGTAATTGTAACTTTATTTCGCTATGTGATATATGTATAAAGAAATTTAATATTAATTATAAAATTGAAATTTCAATAAACGTGAAATATGAAATTTAAAAGCTTGTGTTTTACTGTTTTTAAAACCTATTTATTTTTCTATTTTTAAAACATTTCTTTTGATGACACAATTTATTACATGATGATGTAAGGGTTCGTCCATGAAGGACGTCAAGCAGAATTTATATAATAATTAGAAGTAGAAGATCGCTATATTACTTTAAAAATTGCCCATTAATGTCCACCTGTGAAAAAAATATATATTCAAAAGAATACTCTTAACATAAAAGCGGCAACAATATATTAAGATTAAAAGTAAATCAAATATATTATTCAAAATAACAATTAATTAACACACACAGATTTTATAATATATAAATATATAAAAATATATAATTCTGAATATATCTTTGGAAATCAGAACTTAATTTGTGTCATCGTTGTGAAACTACATTTTATTTTGTGTTGATTTCATATTCATCTTTAATAAATGTTACAGACGGTATTTTTGTTTTATTTTTGGCGCTGTCCAATGTATGCAGCACTTAAGTGGAGAAGAAAAAGAAAGAATATAAGAAAAGAACCCCACACATTCCCGGTACACATTTTAATCTGAGGGGAGAGGAGGTATATTTGTCAAAATATTTTAACAAATTCCCAATATATACACCCTGATATATTATATATATATATATATTATATATATATATATATATATATATATATATATATATACATATATATATATATATATATATATATATATATATCCATACATATATATATATATACATATATATATACATATATACATATATATATATATATATATATATATATATGTATGTATATATATATAACCCTCTGAATTAGGGACGGCATTCGGCAATGCCAATCTAACTGCCAACTTGAATGTGCTTGAGGTCAGCAAAAAATTGCCTTGTATCTATGTTTTATGGTCATATATGTCAGTATGACAACTGACATATATGTTGCAAACAAAACTAAAAACATCAATAACAACTTACAGAGCACTCCCTTTTACTTCTTTGAATACAACCAGTGTTATGTGTTTGAATGCAACACCCAGTATTGTTTTCCATTGCGCGCTCATATAACAATTCACGATACAATTGAATATCATGTCGCATACAAGGTGCATATTTTGCTCCAAGAATGATTAGAGTTTGCTAAATATATAAAAATATGTATATTCACTTTAGTTGCATATTCATTTTTTTTAAGTCACTTCCATCAAGGCTGCAAACAACCACTAATTAAGTTGAGAGTTATAAAACAATAGAAAACAATGAAAAGAATTAAAGTCAAGAAAGTAGCTGACAGACTTTAAAAACTGTCTGAGTTGGGTAAACACAAGTACGGGAGAGAGTTCCATAGCGTCTATTTGCAAGGGAAGAAACTAGATAAATAAAAAAATTTTAAAATTGAAGTAACAGTTATACTGATAGAATGCAACTTGGCTGAATGACAAGCCACATAAGATTGAGTTTTGGTTGATAAGTGGATTGGAGCAACAAATACTGTATTTTGTAGAAAAGAGAAAGAAATGCAACTTTGAGATGATCGAACAGAGGCTAAGGGAAAGCAGTTAGAACAGGTTCAGCAACATTAAAAATATATTTTTAAACCTTTTCTAATTAAAAGAGAGAGAGCCTTATTAGAAAAACCAGTCCAAATATGTCAACAGTATTCAATACAAGAACAAATAGGAGATTTATTGAGATAGAGAATGGAATTAAGATTAGGAAAATTGAGAACAATATAGATGCTTACTTTGCAATGTATTGTATATATTGTATCTATGAGATGTATTGTATCTATGAGAGGTCAGTAGTAAAAAAAGTATCTATGGTCAGTTCAATTCAAGATAATATAAAGTAGAGTAAGAATATTACCATAAGAATATTACCATAAGAATATTACTATAAGAATATTACCATATGAATATTACCATAAGAATATTACCATAAGAATATTACCATAAGAATATTACCATAAGAATATTACCATAAGAATATTACCATAAGAATATTACCATAAGAATATTACCATAAGAATATTACCATAAGAATATTACCACAAAAATATTACCATAAGAATATTACTATAAGAATATTACCATAAGAATATTACCATAAGAATATTACCATAAGAATATTACCATAAAAATATTACCATAAGAATATTACCATAAGAATATTACCATAAGAATATTACCATAAGAATATTACCATAAGAATATTACCATAAGAATATTAAGCGGTAATTATAGGCAGTAAACAACTGAGTTTTGTTTTGAAAATAAAACTTACAAAACACTGCAAGCTCCAAACTGTTACAAAAGAGATATCAGATTCGAGATCTGTCATCAGTATATAGAGCAAATTTAGATATAAGATTGTCAGGAAGATCATTAATATAGATAAATAACAATGCAGGGACAAGGATAGAACCTTGTGGTAACCCAGAGATTACTAGAAATAAAAAAGAGTGTCAGTCTTTAAGGGTGACTTTAATACATTTAATACATGATTTAGCTATTGCAAAAACTTTCCCAGACACACCATACAAAGCAAGCTTAGGAACAAAACCAACATGCCAGACCAAAAGTTTTTAATATGTCAAGAGCAATATCCACTACCTTGCCATTTCAAACCATTTGCACAATAAAAATTTTCTGCTATTATGGTTAATAAGTGAGCAGCCAAAAGATCACATAACCACAAATGGATTAAAATCTGTATTTGTCACAGAGGATGTTGGTAGACTCAAAATGAGACATTAGAAGTTTGTTAATTAATAACTAAAGACTAACAATAGTGAGAAGAATGATTGGAAAATAGTTGGTTTAGAGTGATCTTTAATTTTTTTAAAAAATTGTAATAACAGATGCCATTTTCCAGCAGGCAGAAAAACAAGATTCAGTTCAGCACCTGATAATTAATTTAGGGAGTAATATAAAGAGTTCTGGAGAAAAATTTGTTGGTTCAATACCATAACATCTTGGTTCAATAACCAAAACATGTTACTATAACATGACATGTTGGTTGTTCAATAACATTCTTAATTACATATAAACCTGTAATAAAAGTGTTGTTTGTTGGGAAATAACCATAACATCAGAAGTTTTTTTTATTGTTTCAATGCAATAGAAAACATTTTTATTGTTTCAATGCAATAGAAAACATTTTTATTGTTTCAATGCAATAGAAAACATTTTTATTGTTTCAATGCAATAGAAAACATTTTTTGCATTTTTCGTGAAAAAGAGAACTAAAATTAGTATAAAAAAAATTTTCATTGTACAACAAGAAGAAAATCTATGGAGTAAGATTTAAAATTAACAAGAAGAAATGCTTTCAAACTGACTTTAAATAAAATAGGTGAATTGATACATAAGTATACGCCTAGACCTGTGACTATTGGAGTCCAGGCCAGACCTGTGACTATTAGAGTCCAGGCCAGACCTGTGACTACTGGAGTCCAGGCCAGACCTGTGACTATTAGGGTCTTAGGCTATTTTGTCTAACTGATCAAAAAATCAATATTAAGATCAATATTAAAATAATAATTAAAAAAAAACTAAAATATTTTTTACTTATAAGTTTATTTTTGTAGATATTTATATTTTTATACACCAATGTTAAAGATTACTTTTTAAAAAATTTAAAACTTTAATTTAACTTGCAACAAACAATGAAAGACTAATACAATTTTTTATTATTAAATTTTATCTTATGATGTAACCATCTTAGTTACTTTTTTTTTTCTTCAACATTATAAAAACAAAGACAAGTATATGTTTTTATTATTTCAGATTTGGTAAACTTCTACATTATTTCTAGCAGTTATTAAAAAAGATTTCCTTTGATTTGCTTAGATTTATTATGACATACTCTATTTTTATTGGACAATCTTATACATACTTTTTTTATACATACATTTTTTCATACATTTTCATACATTTTTATTGGGTAATCTATATCAATACATAAACTATACATAATTAAAAAATGAAAAAGTAAACATAAAATGCATGTGTAAAAGTAAAGTATATTATTTTATTTTAAACTTACTTAAAAAACAGGAAAAAGTAAACTAATATTAAAAAGACTTAATAAAATACTAGAACAATAAAACATACCAATGTTGGTCCAATCCAGAAGCTTTCAACTTCTTTTTTACCTTTTAATTCCATACCAAGAACACCATTGCGACTTACTAATATCTATTTGAAAGAATAAATTCATCATCACCATCATTATCATCATCATTATCATCATCATCATCATCATCATCATCATCATCATCATCATCATCATCATCATCATAATCATCATCATCATAACTGTCTATAAGCAATTGCTTTTATTCAGTGTTTTTGGAGTAATTGCTCAGCATTACATGAATAAAAGTTTGAGCAAATTGCTTAAATTTTTAGTATATCTGAGCAATTACTCCAAAAATGCTGAGTAAAAGCAATTGAATTTTTTCATTCACCCATCATATTTTTTCATTCACCCATCATATTTTTTCATTCACCCATCATATTGTCTTGCATGTCATTATCTTTTTAATACTTTAAGTTTATATTTACATGAAGTATTGCTTACATTTTTTTGTGTTGATCTTTCGCTGACACCAATAGGAGCAAATGGATACACAGATATCATAACAATAAGTACAACTACTTGAACAAATGATAACCAGTATGTAAAATATGGTCTAGAAAAAAAACAAAATTTAAATAAAAATTTATATCCTTTACAAAGCAAATAAACATGTTAAAAACCCTAAGACTAAACCAAAAAAAAAGTTTATAAAAATATAAAATACAGTCTATTATTTTTTTATTACTACTTTTTTTAATTTATGAATATTTGATTCTAAAATTTCAAGTTCTATAAATAAACGTCAAATTATTTAAAATTATTATTCAAAGACCAACTGCTTCACCAGCTGATGATTCCTGACTGATTCCTTCATCAGTTGTAAAAATATCACATCACATAACATGATCAAGATGACCCCCTAAATCTGCTCTGTATATTAAAATGAGTATTTAATAATTTTTTTATGGATAGCTTTATTTGTCTTAATGAATAGTATTTTTAATTATACAAATATGAGAAATTTAATATAAAATTTATTTGGAATGAACTGATTTGTTTGGAATAAATTACTGATTAGCAATAAGTTAATGAATTACTAATATAACTATATAATGTAACAATATTTATAAATTATAATATAAATAAATAACAATATAAATAAATTAAGTAAATTATAATATAGGTAAATAAAATTAAAACTTTGAAACTAGACAGATGTTTGCATAATATTTTGATAACAATCAACTAAAAACTAACCAATTGGACAAAATGTCCAGATAACCTGCTTTTTTTGCTTTTTGCTAGAAATTTACTGCTCCTGACATAATTTATTCCTGCTAAAGTATACAGTGAGTTTAGTTTTATCTTTTATTCCTGCTAAAGCATGCAGTGAGTTTCATCTTGGTTGTTGTATAAAATAAATACCCACCAAGATAAATAAACATAATTTAAGAAAGCATGCTATTTTCCAAAAATCATTCTTTATTCCTTATATTTGTGTGTTTTAAAGCTAACTGGAATTCTTGCATAGATTTGCAAACAAGAATAAGTTACACATTCTTAGAGAAATAAATAAAAAGTGAAGCATTCAAACCAAGCAAAGGAAATTATTTGAGCATATCTAAAATTACAAAAAACTTTCTACTACTTTAAAGACCATTAAAAAAAATTCTACTTAGAATAGAGTTTTCTCAACGAAATTACTTAATGAGTGTAAATATTAGCCATCATTTGTAACAACATATTACTAACTTAATAAGTGTTAAAATTAGCCATCATTTGTAACAACATATTACTAACTTAATAAGTGTTAATATTAGCTATCATTTGTAACAACATATTACTAACTTAATAAGTGTTAATATTAGTCATCGTTTGGAACAACATATTACTTACTAAATAAGTGTTAAAGGGATCCCAAACTTCCAACACATGTTGTGTTCATATTAAAGATAATGTTGAAAAAAAAGGTTTGAACCAAGTTTTTTTATTAAAAATAAATAATGAATGCATACTGAAAAAAACTAATCTTGTCATTTTAGTTGAAGCTCGCCTACTCCATTTTACTCAAAAAATTGGAGTCTTTAAACTATACAGTGCAATCTACAGACTTAATTCCTTTAATTCATAAAAAATTTTAGTATTTAGAATTAATTCCTTTGAAGCGCATATAATTCATAAAAATTTTAGTATTTAGACTTTTGACAAATGAAACTTTATAAAAAATTTTATTAATTTTTATTCATAAATTTTTTCATTATTTGTTTAGTTATTTATTTTCTAATTTTAACATTTAAAAAAATATTAAAAACCTCAAATATTTTATGCTCGTTTGTTGCTATAAATTGCTAGTGCACTGTATTTAATGTTAATAAATTAAGTATTTATTATCTCAATCAAAATTCTGATAAAAAATTGTTTTATATTAGTTACCTGTATAAAATTAGTAACAGCATTTTCATTTGGTTAGACAATATTTTGTCTGAATTTGCTTTGTATGAAGTTTGGGAAGTCAAACAAAAAAACTTAGTTTAAATAATCATGTCAAAATATATTTAAAACAAATGATTTTAATGACAGGGTACTAAAATCTTTTTATAACAAAAGTAGATCTTTTTTTTTTTATTATATTGCAACTGTAAATATTGAAATATTAACTTATTATATAATTAATATTGAAATATTAACTTAATATATAATTAATATTGAAATATTAACTTATTATATAATTAATATTGAAATATTAACTTAATATATAATTAATATTGAAATATTAACTTATTATATAATTAATATTGAAATATTAACTTATTATATAATTAATATTGAAATATTAACTTATTATATAATTAATATTGAAATATTAACTTATTATATAATTAATACTGAAATATTAACTTATTATATAATTAATATTGAAATATTAACTTATTACAAAATTGTAATTATTATGACTAAAGGTTGTGAACATTATTGTAGCGTTTATTGGAAAACTTGTATTAGTCAATTTTGTTAGTTTTTTAATTTTCCATGTTAAAAGACAAATGCCAAATACAACTCATATATTGGGAAATACCTAATATAATATGTTTTTTAACGCATGTTACAACATTTTGATAATTTAAATTAAATTAGTGTAATTAAAAAATTTTTATAATAAAAAAATTTAACATTTCATCAAATATCTATAACTAGCAGAGGCAGAGGTGCTCGCGTCGCTGGGCACCAGCAAAAGAAATCAAAATTGCTGGTGCACAAAGAAAACCCATCCTCCAAAAATCAATTACTTGACCAAAAAACTCTCAATCCTGGGTACTATAAAAAAACCGACGCAGAGCCTTTTGGTACACATTTAAAAGTTCTTCCATCCGGGGATTTTATATACATTGTACACACATCATATATATATATATTCATACACAATACTTATTTAAAAAGAACAATGCCCCTGTACCAAGTTGACCACCACAAAATAAAAGAACCAAAAACGAATTAGTTACCACCAAAAAACAATATTTCCCCACCCATTCCCCACAGCAACATGCGAAGACCAAACCGACCCCCCGAACTGACTCCCAGAACTGCAACCCCGCAAATGATGTGCTCACCTCAGCAACCCGGTAAAAACTGAGCTATGTGCAATCTCTGGTGATCCACCTACATTCCCATAGAAGGCTCCAGATGAACACAGAACACTCCGGAAAGCCCTCGAATACTCTGGAAGGTGATAGAACAACCACACTGTGCACTATAGAATATTCCGGAAAACTCCGGCCCACTCCGGAAAATTCTGGCCCACTCCGGAAAAACTTGGAACATTCCAGAAAAACTGGAATGTTCTGGAAAACAACAAAACAGGCAACAGCAATCCATGGAACACAACAGAAACCGATGAAAATCACATCATAGGAAACGTTTAACCCGTCCCCCAGAACATTCTCACATCCAGCGACCCCCGAGGTCACACTCGAGGTCATCCACCACCAACCCCTCACCCCGGGGGCAAGGAACAGCTCTGCACTTTACAAGGAACACTCTATCCAGCCCCCCGAACTAAAAATGACCATTTGAAAGCCCCCCCCCCGACCCTGGGCAGCCTCTAGTAACTTCCGAATTCAACTTGACATAGCCTATGTCACTCTCTAGGTCATGGGGATCATCCATGCCAAATTTCAAGTTTCTAGGATCAACGGTCTGGCTGTTAACTTGGAACAAACAATCAAGCAATCAATCAGAATTGACAAATATATATAAGATTAATACTGACAGTTTATGAAATTAATTGTTAATAAATTTATTTGTTAACAAAAAAAGTTATAGTGTAAAAAAAACCAGAGTTATAAAATAGTTCCCACTGAAAAATAGTTCCCATTGTTTAAATGAAACTAAGTAAGATTCAGAATATATAATACTGCATTCCCTTGCACAAAAACAAGAGCCCTTATATACAACGTTCTTTATAATGTAAAATACTTTTATGAAAATCATAAAATTGATAAGACTTTAATATTTATTTTAATTTAAAAACAAAAGAAATATAAGTAAGATATATAATCTAAAAATTATGAAGATATCTGTAAAAAATAAGTTGTTCTTATAAAATAAAAGTAATGTATTATTTCTACTTTTTACAAATTTTTTTTTTTTTGCGAGGTTTCGAAAAGTAATACAAATAAATTTGTTTTGCTGTATGTTAAAAATACTACAATGTACTTTTTAAATACAAGTAGAGAAGCGCAGCATTGCTTAATTACATTTTTCATTTGTCAAAAAATTGGAGTCTTTAAATTATACAAATGAAAAATGTAATTGTTTAATTACATTTTTCATTTGTATAATATAAGACTCCAATTTTTTGAGTAAAATGGAGAAGGAAAATTTCGACTAAAACGACAAGATTAGTTTTTCTCAGTATGCATTCATTATTTATTTTTAATCAAAAAAACTTGGTTCAAACCTTTTTTTTCAACATTATCTTTAATATGAACATATCATTTGTTGGGAGTTTAGGATCTTTTTAATATTAATATTCATATGTAACAACATATTACTTAATAAGTGTTAATATTAGCATTAGTAACATGTTAGCAAACTTATACAAATGATGACACAAACAGTAATATTTTATTTTCACTACAAATAACAAAAAAATAATAATAATTAATAAATAATACTAAAAAAAGTGAACCTATGATCTGAAAACTCATCAATTTGTTCTCGCACAGAACTTGTTATTCGATTTCTCAAAAGACTTAGATTAAGAATATTAGCAACAACACTTTTTCCAAATTCGCGTTTTTTTTTTTTTTCTTTCAATAGGCCTTTCAATACGATTACGTCGCTCACTAACTTGGCGAGACATACTCCTAGCTGTTAAAAAAAAAATAAAAAATAACTAAAAAACCAATTTAAAAAATTTTACAAGTCATACAAAAAAAAAGATTTTCAGACCTACACTAAAGTTCTTTGTAGGAAAAAATTACTGGTTAAAATTTTAAAAGCTTAATTTAATATTTAAAAATATTTTTTTTTAATTATTTCATTCTACAAATCCTTTATATGAATGTTTTAAAAATAAAATATTTATAATCCCCATTTAGTAAATTTTGAAAACTTTTGTCATACACAACAATATTTTGTACTTCAAATTTTAATAATTCGTCTTGTAACAAAGTCTTTTAACAATTCGTTTTGTTGGTGCATGAAACATCACATGAAAAACTTTCTTTTGACATATTTTTCAGTTATGTTACATTTATAAGATATGTTATGTTACATTTATATTGTTATATGACTAGGTATACTTAAGATACTTTAAATTTTTAAAAGCTTTAAATTTGTTGCTTTTATTTCTTTTGACAAATTTGCTGCAAACAACCACTATACAAATTTTAAGATGAGACAAAAAAACAAAAATTAAGAGTAAACAGAGACAAATAAAATTTGGGAAATAGAAACAGGAAAATAAAAAGATATTTAAAGAAAAAGAAAACAGAAGACTTAAAAAATTGTTTGATTCAAGAAAGCATGGGAAGAATTCTGAATCATTGATGTACTAGAAAAAAAAAAATTAAGTTTTTTAAAGAATAAAGAAATACAGCAAAAGGATGAAACTTAGCTGAATGATAAACCACGCTTAATAAAGAACCATGCAAGAGTTTTAATTGATGAAAAAAGAAATGGTTGCTTGAGCAACAACTTGAGCCATTTTCTTAACTTTTAGCAAGTTCTGACGTCGCATTGTATTATATGTATGGCTTCCATAAAAAGTCAGTATTGAAAGAAAATCCAATATGAAAAAGGACTAAGTAAGACTGTTGCTATTTATAAATATAGAAATATCAGAAAAATAAAAATAATTATTTAATATAACTATTTTGTCAAAAATGGAGTATATAGTTGTGTTATCAGCAACTTGAAATCCAGAAGTTACAGGAAATGAAGAAGAGTGTTGGCCATCAAAGATGACTTTAATACTGGAATTAGAAATGATTCAATAATTTTTAAAGCCTTTCTAGAAACACCATATGGAGGAAGTCCATTTTCCAGCAGACAAGAAAACTTCAATAAAGCACTTGTTAGAGTATTAAAGAAAGTTCTAAAAAAATGTTAAGACTGTAACGGAAATGCTGGCCAAACCACAAGCTGTAGGAAAGTTTTAACACTTATTTTAGCAACAGAAGCAGGAATGATTTGGATGTCTAACAATAGATTAACCTGTTTTTTTGGGATGACAGGAAGAGTGTGGTTATTAGATTCAAGAGATCAATTGAAAAGTAAGTTTATACCCAGACCAAGCATGGGATTATTGTTGTCTTTGCAAATTAAATGATAATAACTATCAAGAATGAGATCTTAGAATAAAATTATAGTCGCACATTATTATTACAAATTATATAAGCCTTCTAAATTATATAAGTCTTACAAATAACAAGTAGGCCTAGCAAATTTTGAATAAGAGAAAATACAAGGGATAAAAGGTTACTTTAAAAACCATGAATATTCGTAAAAAAATATATTCAAATAATTTCCTTAAGTTTTGATGATGATGTTTGATGAATGATGGTGTTTTATGTTTAGTATTTTTAAAGATTTACTTTATTATTTATTATTATTAGATATTTTAGTCCAAAAAAAGTTAAACTATTAAGTTGATTCAATCATAGGTAGTGCATGACGCAGTAATGACCAACAATCATAGGTAGTGCATGACACAGTATGGCAAGCATTCAATCATAGGTAGTGCATGACACAGTATGGCCAGCATTCAATCATAGGTAGTGCATGAAACAGTATGGCAAGCATTCAATCATAGGTAGTGCATGACACAATATGGCAAGCATTCAATCATAGGTAGTACATGACACAGTATGGCAAGCATTCAATCATAGGTAGTGCATGACACAGTATGGCAAGCATTCAATCATAGGTAGTGCATGACACAGTATGGCCAGCATTCAATCATAGGTAGTGCATGAAACAGTATGGCAAGCATTCAATCATAGGTAGTGCATGACACAGTATGGCAAGCATTCAATCATAGGTAGTGCATGACACAGTATGGCAAGCATTTAATCATAGGTAGTGCATGACACAGTATGGCAAGCATTCAATTATAGGTAGTGCATGACACAGTATGGCAAGCATTCAATCAGAATTTGGATTAGTTTTTTTTTAATTCAATTGCTTATGCTTTAAGTAAAAAAAAAAAAAAAATTTTATATTTTGAACTTAGAGTTTTATGCATTTTAAAACAGTCAGAGATAAAAAAAAACTCCTACATAAGCATTTAAATTTTAAAAAATAAAAACCTCTTACACATCAGAAACATGCTCCTAGACCAACTTATCAACTTATAACTAAAATTGGAACAGCTTCTAACTACGCTCTTATGAATACAATTATACAAAATTAGAGCATGCAAGCCAAGAGAGTCACCAAAATAGTTGTTGTTGGTGTAAAAAATTCGTAATGACACAAAAATATTTAGAAATATTATAACAATTAATTTATCAGGAATTGAAAAATCAATTAACTAATTGAAACATGCCAGATTTAGATGCCTCATTTAACAATAAATAAATTGCCAGATTCTCCCATACTTACATTTGACACATTAGAGAATAAAGTAATCTCATCAGTAAGAAACCTTTTTAATTCAAAGTACAAAAAGATTTTTATCTAACCTGACCATAGCCTGACATAAGAAATAATAAACCAGAAGCCAAGTTCCATCTTTTCTGGATGTTCAGAAAAGATAAATCTACTTATAGTTACGGTATAATAATAATTAAATTACACACGATTTTAATGTATATAGAGCATATAAAATATTTTCTTATTAGTTGATATCTATACTACCACTATGTATATTGATAAATTACATTTTAAAATTATCATTAATGCGTAATATTGAAATATAATTAAATATGAAATTAGGTATAAAAATGTTGCTAATAAAATGAACATAAAAAAAGCACCTTGACTGGATGATTCTACACGATGTTCACTATAAAAATAAAACTATAGATATATAGATATATATATAGTATATAGATATAATATATAGATATAGATAGATATATAGTAAAACTACCAAGTGTAAAGTTAAAGTTTTTCAATTTTATCAGAACATACATTTTTGGAGTAGGCATTGCAGATGGCCCTCCATCTGCCTGATCAAGTTCAAGCTCTTCATCAATAATTGGTTCATCGAAAAAAAAAAAATGATCGTCAATAAATGAAGGTGTTGGTAATCCTGAACTAGGAGTAATTGACGGATATTCTAGATGGGATGCTGAACTAAAAACAGATATATCATCATCATTTAGATCTGCAAGTGCATAACTTCTTCCTCGAAAACTGTCTATTGTTGAAGCAGCATATTGAGGCTGAAAAAAAATTTTACTAGCTTTATAACAATAGTCATATAACAAATTAACAATAAAATTAAAATCTAAAAGCAAACCTTGTCTAGTAACTTCTTTGAGGCTGATCTCCACAATAATTTTGCAGCATTTTCTCTTCGCCTCTTAACAATACTATTTTGAGCCATTGCATATTGTACAACAGCTGAAAAATGCATACCATCAGTTTCATCCCCATAAAAGGAACCAGATTGTGAGCTTTTGATTTTCCCTAAAAAAAGAAAAGAAAATTTAATTGAAGTTTAAACAATCACATATTTATTTCCTTTTATAATATATATATATATATACATATATATATATATACATATATATATATATATATATATATATATATATATATATATATATATATATATATATATATATATATATATATATATATAATATATATATATATATGTATATATATATATATATATATATATAAATATATATACATATATATATATATATATATATATATATATATACATATATATATATATATATATATATATATATATATATATATATATATATATAATATATATATATATACATATATATATATATATATATATATATATATATATATATATATATATATATATATATATATATATATATATATATATATATATATATATATATATATATATATATATATAAGGGGGTATAAAAGAAAATAATTTTAAGTTTTTAAAATGAGCATGTCATCTTGTGATGAGCATTTATTTTGAAAAAAATTTTTCTATTTAATTTATCCATTGATTTACATCCATTTAAAATGAATTATTTTTAAAATAGTTTATAGGATTGCAAAATAAAAGTGATATCAGTGACATTGGGTTTTTTGAGCGTTTGTTCTACTGAGTATCAATTTTAAACTTATTTATGTTAACTAATGTGGCTGTAATGACTTTCATTGTAAATGTTTTCAAAATACGTTGTTTGTTTTAACAAAAAGTATTTTTACAAAAAAAGTTGCAACACTGTATCAACAAGTTCAGATAGCTGGTGTCAATTTTCTTGCACCATCTCAACCAGCAATCCATATACCAGTCATCAGAAAAGGTAAAAAGTTATAAGATAAATTAAGAAAAGAACTAAACGGTCAAGAATTAGTTTTTAACTTTTACTTTGGATTGCAGTCTTTGAATTGAAAGTCTGTGTAATAAAATATCAATTTTGCACAGGTTCGATCACATTCTATTTATTAATGACTATTACATTTAAAATACATATATACATATATATATATATATATATATATATATATATATATATATATATATATATATATATTATATATATATATATATATATATATATATATATATATATATATATATATATATATATATATATATATAGGGGAGAACTTGCACCCTTGATCCGTAAGCACCTTTGATCCTATAGCGTTATCTCCATACTTACATAACTTATTAAAGAGGGCTGATAACCAGCGTGTTATAAATATTGTATCTTCAAAATTAATTGTGTTTTGGTTAAAGAATAGACCACTATTAAATTTATTCCTAAATAGTTTGATTTTGACGAAAAAAAGTGTTTTTTTTACTTTAACAAGGAACCTCACATCTTTAATATTTTTTTAAGTTGAATTATTTTGCTTATGTCATTTTGTAACTTAACTATTCACCTCTTGTATGGTTGCTTTTGGTAAGCTATAGGAGCATCTAATATGACCAAAAAAGAATTTTTGTAAAAATGGAGCGGGTTAGCACCCTTGATCCTAATGCAATTATGCACCTTTGATCCTATGATCAAAGGTGCATACACACACACACAAAATGTTTAACTTTTAAAGTAACATGTACAATACGTCATATTGTTTTTAAATATGTTTTTTTCTTCTAGAATAAAGCCTTAAAATGAAGATTTTATACTATTTTGTATTTTTTTGTTCTCCTAAAACTTTTATATAACATAATTGTAAAGTATTCAATATATATATATATATATATATATATATATATATATATATATATATATATATATATATACATATATATATATATATATATATATATATATATATATATATATATATTATATATATATATATATATATATATATATATATATATATATATATATATATATATATATATATATCTGTGTGTGTTTGTTAATAAAGAAAATTTTAGTAAGTAAAAATCTTTATAAATGTTTATCCAAAAATTAGGAATATAGCAAAACTATATAAATATGTTTCATTTTTTTACAGTTAAATATGGTGTATCATAAAAAACGAAAAACCAATAGACCACCTAGAGGTAAAGTTAATGAGAATGAAATGCGAGCAGCTGTTAATGCAGTTCTTAATGGTAGTACAGTTTATCGTGTATCTAAAGAGAGGGTAATCAATTTAATGACACTTAAGAGATATGTAAGGAAATGTCAATTAAATCCATATACAAGTCTGCAAACCTAACTTCATTACAATGCAAATCTTTACCAACGAAGAAGAAACATCTTTATCAGATTATCTTTTAAGGGCCTCAAAACTTCACTATGGATTATCAACCAAAACAACACAAAAACTTGCCTATGAATTTGCAATGACTCTTTCTAAGCGCATTCCTAAATCATGGAAAAGTTTACAAATTGCTGGGAAACAGTGGCTTCATGGTTTTATGTTACGTAGGAATGAGTTATCTTTAAGAAATCCAGAAGCTACTAGTATGGCACGAGCAACTGCTTTTAAAGGGATCCCTAAGTGCTCCTAACATATAATCTCATATGAAAGAGCATAAAAAAAAAATATGTAAGTTTTTTTTCTTTTTCACTAAATTGTAATAATAAATGCATGCTAACAAAAAGCAATTGCCGAAATCACTAAAAAACAACTCCATTTTGATTTTATTTTTTCACCATTGAAACTCGATTGTTAGTCGTTAAAAATCACGTTAGTACGTCACAACAACTTTAGCATATCTACTTCGATTTTCAAGTAAAAAAAAGTCATGATTAAATAGTTAAGTTTTAATCAAGTTTTTTTAATTAGTTTTGCAAAAACAGTATAATAGCATTTGGTTGAAAGACGTCGTTAAAAAAAAAGTTATAAGTAATAGTTTTAAATAGTTTAGAACTTAAAAAAGTCTTACAGGGCTCGTATTAAGCGTATCGCGATCGCGATTGCTACACTCAATTTTGTGATTAGTTTTTTCTTAAAAAAAATCTTTTCGTGACTCGTTTTTTTTTTTGGTTGATTAATTACTTTTTTTCTAGCTTAGCATTTTTTTAGCAATTCTTAAAAGTAATCTTTTTATCATAAAGAACGTCACACAGAATTTATTATTCTGAATAGATAGATGTATAGATGATTTGATGATGGCAATCCTGTTACTGAGTCATCCTCTTTACATCTTCTTGGATTATCGCTTACTACTGACCTTTCATGGAAACCATATATACAATCGATTGCTAAATTAGCTTCTGCTAAGGTTGCTTCTCTTTATCGTGCTCGCCATTTCCTTACTTCTGATTCCATTCTCTACCTCTACAAATCTCTTATTTGTCCCTGTATGGAATACTGTTGTCATATTTGGGCTGGTTCTTCTAACGATTCACTTTCTCTTCTTGACAAGGTCCAAAAACGCATTGTAAATGTTGTTGGACCTGGACTATCTGCTAAGCTTGAACCTCTTTCCCATCGTCGTAGAGTTGCATCTCTTTCTCTTTTCTACAGATACTATCATGGTCACTGCTCAAAGGAGTTATCATCTCTAGTTCCATCAACTAAAATTCATTCTTGTTTTACTCGTCATTTAGCTAAGTCTCATTCGTTTACTGTGTCTGTCCCAGCACGCTCTAAAAACTTTTATTCATCTAGTTTTTTTCCCCGCACTTCAATCCTTTGGAACTCTCTCCCATCTTCATGTTTTCCTGACTCATACAACCTTCAACTTTTCAAGTCTTCTGTCAACCGTTTCCTTGCTCTATAACTCTGTTCTTTTTTTTTCCTAGTAACTCCTAACTTAATAGTGGTCGCTTGCAGCCTTGTTGGGAGTGAATGCAAATAAAAAAAAAAAAAAAAAAAATTTGCACTTTCGCGCGGAGATTTTCTTTTAACGTAAAACATTTTTGAATTTAAATTACTTTAAATCTCTGCGTGGAAAATTTTTACAGCGAAAAGTTGAAAAGTTGGTTTTTATCTTTGTTGGTTTTTATCTTTGTTTTAACTTCATGTTTAAAATAAGCCTTAAAAACGTTAGAGCAAAAAAATTACTGACTTTTATTTGCATTTTTATACTGTTTGAAAAAAAAAACTAATAAAAAAGAAATAATACATAATTATTTATTAATATATTATTAGTTAATTCTTTTTTATTAGTTTTTTTTTTCAAACAGTATAAGAATGCTAATAAAAACCAGCAATTTTTTTACTTAAACGTTTTAAAGCCTTATTTTAAACATGAAGTATAATTCGATTAATTAAACCAAATTTTTTTGTTTTATCTTTTATTGGAAAACTTGAAATAGAAAAATTAAATAAAAACATCAACTATTTAAATGAAAAACTTAATTATATTTAAACTTTTATTAGTCCTTTATTCAAGAAACAATAAATTATAAAAAACGTGATATCTAATTTTTTATTAAGTTTTTGACGATGTTTTTTGATTTATTGATGATAATTTTTTCCCCCCATTACCGCACATCGGCGCGAACTATAAGAAAGAAAGGGGGGGGGTGAGAGCAAAAAAAAAAAATTTTTTTTCGCGATTAGATTTTATTGCGTTAATTCGAGCCCTGTCTTAGTTTAATTTCTAATAAAAGGTCTTTTCAACCTTATCAATTTTAACCAAAAAAATATAGCAATTTAACATAAATGTTAATTTAACTAAAACATTTTACAATCATTATTTTTTTTTATCAAGCAAAAATGAGAGTAACCGTCACTTTTGAAACCATAAAAATTACTAAAATAAATTTATTTTTTTACTAAGGCAATATTTTAAATAAACTTTCATGTCTAAGTCAATATTCATTTGTTTTTAACTGACTAAAAAGAGTTTAAAATTTGACTTCTATTCATTTTTAGCTGTGGAATTGCCCTTATAACACAAATATATAAATTAATATTATAAAAAAAATTTTAATATACAAATATATTTTCACAAAATGCTACAAAACTTATTCATGTAAGTAATTATGTGTTAGTTGAAAAAAAACGACTTTAATTTTAAATTTAATTACCAACTAATAAGTTTGCAATAATGACATTTTGTCTACTTTGTTTAATTTGACATACTAACGTTAGTTTTTTGAGGCAGTAGAGTCAATAAACTTTGGACAAGGCGCATTTTTTTTTAATCGAAGAAAAGCGTTTTTTTGAAAATTAAATTTGTTAGTGTGTGTTCATTATTACGTTTTAGAAAAAATAATATACATCAAACATTTTTTTTTTTATGCTCTTTCATATGAGATCATATCTTTATAGCACTTAGGGATCCCTTTAATTGTTATAAAGTCGGAGAATTTTTCACCAATCTAAAAGATGTTCGTCTACGACACAAGTTTCAGCCACAAAACATATATAATGTTGATGAGACAGGTCTCACGACTGTTCAAAAACCAGTTAAAGTAATTGCTAAAAAAGGAGATAAACAAGTTGGAAGAATAACTTCAGCAGAAAGAGGGACATTGGTAACAGTTTGTTGTGCAGTCAATGCAATAGAAAACTCAATCCCTCCATTTTTTATTTTTCCAAGAGTTCATTTCAAAGGAAGTATGATAAATGGTGGTCCACCTGGATGTGTTGGGGTTGCAAACCCATCTGGTTGGATGAATGTTGCAACGTTTTTAGAGTGGATGAAACATTTTATTCAAAGTCCAGAACATTTTAAGTCAAAGTCCAGAACCTATTACTGCTAACCCTTTTCCAGATGTTGTTGATCCAGTTCATGCCCCAGCTTTTAATCAATCATTGATGTCAAGTCTGTCATCTGGTTCAGCTTGTAGTGTATTGCCTATTCAGCCTTTATCTGACCCTGGAAGTCAACTATCCAGTGTTTCTAATAATATCTCTCATCAAGCAAG